TTTCCCGAGACAGAGTCTTGCTCTGTCGCCAGACTGGAGCACAGTGGTGCAGTCTCGGCTCACTGCAGCCTCCGCCTCCCGGGTTCAAGTGATCCTTCCACCTCAGCCTCCCGAGTAGCTGGAACTACAGGCGCGTGCCACCATGCCCAGCTAATTTTTGTATTTTTAGTAGAGACAGTGTTTCACCATGTTGGCCGGGATGGTCTCGATCTCTTGACCTCATGATCCACCCGCCTCGGCCTCCAAAAGTGCTGGGATTACAGGCGTGAGCCACTATGCCTGGCCAGGGTACTGTTATTTCTGTCTTTCTTTTTTTTTTTCTTCAAGACAGAGTCTTGCTCTTTCACTCAGGCTGGAGTGCAGTGGCACAATCTCAGCTTACTACAACCTCCACCTCCCAGATTCGAGCGATTCTCGCACCTGAGCCTCCCAAGTAGCTAGAGTTACAGGTGCATACCACCACACCTGGCTAATTTTTGTATTATTTGCAGAGGTGGGGTTTCGCCATGTTGCCCAGGCTGGTCTTGAACCCCTATCCTCAGGTGATCCGCCCACCTCGGCCTCCCAAAGTGCTGGGATTACAAGCATGAGCCACTACAGGGTCTCACTCTGTCACCCACGCTGGAGTGCAGTGGAGTGATCATGGCTCACTGCAGCCTCGACCTCCTGGGCTCAATTGATCCTCCCGTCTCAGCCTCCCAAAGTGCTGGGATTACAGGTATGAGCCATCATTCCCGGCCCTATTTCTTTAAATAGATGAAAAAACAAAAGCTCAGTGAATATAAACACCTCTTCCCAAAGCACAATCTAGTAGCTGAGCTAAGACCCGAGTTGGGCCTTCCGACACTCCAGACGGGGCTTTTAAACTATTCCCCAGCAATGAATCTAGATCAGGATATTAAGACTCCCTTCTAAGAATGGATTTTTTAGCTTTCTTTTTAAAACTAACGTTGAATAAAACATTTGTTGCCAGGCGGGCACAGTGGCTCACGCCTGTAATCCCAGCCCTTTGGGAGGCTGAAGCAGGAGGATCACTTGAGGCCAGGAGTTTGAGACCAGCCAGGGCAAAACATCGAGACCCCATCTCTTCAAAAAATTTAAAATTAGCCAGGCATGGTGGCATGTGCCTGTAGTCCCAGCTACTCAGGAGGCCGAGGCAGGAGGATTGCTTGAACCCAAGAAGCAAGGCTGGGTGTGGTGGCACATGCCTATAATCCCAGTACTCTGGGAGGCTGAAGTGGGCGGATCACCTGAGGTCAGGAGTTCGAGACCAGTCTGGCCAAGATTGTGAGACCCTGTCTCTACTAAAACTAGAAAAATTAGCTGGGTGTGGTGGCGTGCACCTGTAATCCCAGCTACTCAGGAGGCTGAGGCAGGAGAATCGCTTGAACCCGGGAGGCGGAGGTTGCAGTGAGCCCAGATCATACCACTGTACTCCAGCCTGGTGACAGAGCGAGACTCCATCTCAAAAAAAAAAAGTATATATGATTGAAGTGTTTCCAGATGTAGAGAAAAGATTTCCATTGAACAGGCCATCCTGTCCTTCGTACTTCATGGACTCTGGGACTTAATTTTAACTGAAATGTCCCCTCGGCTCTGTTACCATTCCTTCCTTGAAGTTTAGACAAACTGTATACAGCACCATAATGGCTGCGGTGGGAGGCGGCCTTCGGCACCAGGACAGTGGCTTCCCCTGGCCCCTGGGGTCCCGCTTGGTACTGCAAAGGAAGCCATCCATTCTGATGTGTCTACACGGGGCCCCCAAGCTCAGTGTTTTGGTTTAAAAGAATTCTGGCACCATCCTGGACTGCAGCAACCAAAACATTTCAGAAGGAAATGAATGTTTTTGCAGGTAGAGTCGGTTGTGGATCCTAGGGGCGCTTCGACACTTCATCATCGGTTAAGTGCCGTGTTTACATGGCACCGGTTCAGTCTCCCCAGAGCAGCCCCGCGGGGCTTCCCACAGGCACGTGTTCCCATATAGCCAGTGGGTTCCTGCTGCAGCCAGTTGGGAAGCAAACCTAGGTAACTGGGCCAGCGGAAAAATGGTCTGTTGCGCTTGGCTGGCAGAATGCAGTGGAGAAACAGTGGAGTCTGTGGATCTAGCGAAGGCCAAAACCCACCCATGGGGTATCCCAGTAGAATCCCCGATTCTAGAAGGTGAGCAGTCACTGAGTGAGCTGCTGCCCCAAGTTTGTGGCTACGCTGTGTTTTGCATAGTTCTTTTTTATTTCTCGATTGTTTGAACCCAAGAGGCAGAGGCTACAATGAGCTGTGATTGCGCCACTGTGCTCCAACCTGGGCAACAGAGAGAAGCCCTGTTTCCAAAAAAGTAAATGAGGCTGTGGGTGGTGACACATGCCTGTAATCCCAGCACTTTGGGAGGCCAAGGCGGGCGGATCACGAGGTCAGGAGTTCAAGACCAGCCTGGCCAACATGGCGAAACACCATGTCTACTAAAACTATAAAAATTTGCTTTTGCTGGGTATGGTGGTATGTGCCTATAATTCCAACTACTCAGGAGGGTGAAGCAGGAGAATCACTTGAACCTGGGATGCAGAGGTTGCAGTGAGCCGAGGTGACACCACTGCACTCCAGCCTCGGTGACAGAGCGAGACTCCATCTCAAAAAACAGAAACAAACAAAAAAAAAAACCAGATAAAGGCAGGGCGATCATGTCTGTGTCATTTCCAAGGTCTTACTGCTTTGGGGTTCATTATCACCTTGTTTAGTTCATGCAAGACAGCGATGATTTTTGCTATTTTATGAAGGAGGAATTTGTGACGTTAGTTCCCGGGAGTTGGCCACACCCAGCTGGACCCAGGAGTTGAACTGATGACCACACGCTCCCCAGCCTCCACTCTGTGTCCAGGGACAGCACTGAAATGCACACCTTTAACCCGTGTCACTAGACGCACCTGTCCTAGATACGTTCACTTCCACTTGCCCCTCATAAAGCCCACATCCCCTTGCCTGGTTTTATTGACCTTTTCCTAAAGGCCCTCTAAACCACGTCCGCGGCCATCACCCCTCAGGGGTGGAAGATTAAGATAAGCCTGGTTCAATCTGTGCCCAGACTGACCTCCCTGCATGTCATTTCTGCATGTCCCCTCCTTGTGCCAGAGCTTGCAGGGACTCCCCAGGGCTGCCACCACATGTCCAGGTGCCTCTGGCTACCCCTGGCGGCTGTCACTCCTCCAGCCCTGCTCCCGACTCCTGCATCTCTGCACCTGCCTGTATGTCCCCTGCCCTTCCCCAGCACCCACCCTGAGATGGAGCCCCCTTCCTTCCTCCCGAGGCCTTCCCGAGGCCCACCCCTCGTAGCTCAGCCGCACGTGCCACTGTCCTGGTCCTCCTACCCTGGAGGGAACATCCCAGGGTTCCTGACGTTGGCCCTGCCCGGCGTTATCCAGGGCGGTGCTTTCCAAACTCCCTATGATGGATAGTTTTGTTTTGTTTTTTAAATTTCCAGTCTGTGGCAGACTGATCGTTTTATATAAAAGACATTTAAAATGTCACCGAAATGCCGAATCGCTATAAAAGTTTCTAAACACTTATTCTCGATTTCCGTAATTGCCTCACTGTGCACCGGCAACAGTTTGCAAATTGGCAAGGATCCATGCAGCTCACGCTGCACAGAACGGGCCTGGACGGCCTGTGCTTGGGAAATAAGCCACAGGAGATGCTCGCTCGCGGCCCCCCAGGGCCACACGCACAGCTGTCACAGGTCAGGAGAGCTGAGCCACCTATTTTGCAACCTCATACAAATCAGAGAAGCAGGAAGGAGTCCCATCTTTGCACACAAAACTTTACAGACTTAAATGGCAAAGTCCTTCATTTTCCCCGAGGGAGATATGAAACATTATTTCCCTGAGTGACTGGCTGTCCCCACATTTGAAAACCCGTGACAAGCACACAGAGCATGGAATGGCCCAGCTGCACCTGCTAGCCGGGGCCACAGTGCCACCATTTCCCCACAGTACAGGCAAGATCAGGATGTGCAACTGAGCACTTCAGAGGGAGGACTGCGGCAAGGACAGTGGCTTTCTGTGTTACAGCATGAGCTGCCCCTGGGATTCTGCTGTCACAGACACCATGCACCTCTGCCCTCTCCACCCCAGTCTCCATCTATCATGCCCAGAATTGCATCTGCCCTGCAGAAAATATTTTAGAATATTTCAGGAATCATGATTCCTTTTTTTTTTCCACTTTGACATAGACTCTTGTTCTGTCATCTAGGCTGGAGTTCAGTGGTGTGATCATGGCTCACTGCAGCTCCGACCTCCCCGAGCTCAAGTGATCCTCTGGCCTCAGCCTCCCGAGTAGCTGAGACTACAGGCATGCACCACCATGCCTGGCTAATTTTTGTATTTTTTGTAGAGATGGAGTTTCACCATGTTGCCCAAGCTGGTCTCGAACTCCTGAGCTCAGGTGATCCACCCACCTCTGCCTCCCAAAGTGCTTGGATTATAGAAGTGAGCCATTGCACCTGGCCCCATAATTACTTTTAAAGCTTGAAAAAAGTACTACTTGAGTCATTGAGAGGTAGAATTACAGATTTAATTTTTTCTTTCCTTTTTTTTGAGACAGAGTCTCACTTCGTCACCAGGCGCCAGGCTGAAGTGCAGTGGCACGACCGGCTCACTGCAACCTCCGCCTCCCGGGTTCAAGCAATTCTCCTGCCTCAGCCTCCCGAGTAGCTGAGACTACAGGCGCATGCTACCACGCCCAGCTAATTTTCTTGTATTTTTAGTAGAGATGGGATTTCACCATGCTGGCCAGGATGGTCTCAATCTCTTGACCTCGTGATCCGCCCGCCTCGGCCTCCCAAAGTGCTAGGATTACAGGCGTGAGCCACCGCGCCTGGCCTTATTTTTTTTTTTTTAATACCTTACCTTTTTTCTATTTTGTGCCTTTTCCACAATGAGCATTTGGTGAGGTTAAGGGTGGGCAGCCAGTTTTTTTAAAAATCAATTATCCTAAGAGTTCTTCAACAAAAGAACACTAAGTACACATCTTCCACATCTTTTACTTTTTGTTACTAAGTAAAATACTGGCCAGGCACAGTGGCTCATGCCTATAATCCCAGCACTTTGGGAGACCAAGGCAGGCAGATCAGTTGAGGCCAGGAGTTCGAGACCATCCTGGTCAACATGATGAAACCCCATCTCTCCTAAAAATACAAAAATGAGCCAGGTCTGTGGTGGCACCCGCCTGTAATTCCAGCTATTCAGAAGGCTGAGGCAGGAGAATTGCTTGAACCCGGGAGAAGAAGGATGCAGTAAGCTGAGGTCACACCACTGCACTCCAGCCTGGGCGATAGAGGGACCAAGACTCTGTCTCAAAAAAGAAAATGCTGATACAGAGTAATAGTTTGTCAAACAATATCTCAGCTTCTGTGTAATTTAATAGTGAATCTCAAGGACCTCGAATCCCACCTTTCGGTGGAAAATCTCAGTGGTTTGGGAGCTTTCGAGGGACGCTCCCTCCTCCGAGCCCCCCACTCTCCATTCCCCTGCCCGGAACACTCTTCCCTCTTCCCCAGCGCCCAGCAGCCCCCCCCGCCCGCACCTCCCCCGGGTTCAGCTCACACATCACCATCTCAGCAAGTCTTTTCCTGGCCGTCTTATTAAACCCTGGCGTCTCTCAATTCTGACTCTGTGGCCTCTGTTTATGTCTCCTTTGTCCATGGTCGCCCTGCACACTTTTCGCTACTACTGTTTTCTGTGTCTCACTCACCCTGCCCCATCCCT